GGCAAGACTTCTGTTTCCTGATATTATTTGCCCATTTTTCTTTTAATGATAAAACTCCTTGAGTCTTTGGTGAGTACTTGCCCGGTCAAAGACTGTATTTTTCCAATCTCCCTTGTGGATAAATAAGGGTAGGTTCTAACAATGGCATGTAAAGGGAAGAGGTACATGTTACTTCCCAGCCTTGCCCTTGACATAATTAAGTGTTCTCTCTCTCTCTCTCTTTCTCCCTCCCTCTCTCCCTCTCTTTTTTTCCCTCCCTAGGTCTTGACTAAAGACACAATCTACTGATCCAGTTTTGAATATGTAGTCGAAGAGTGTCTCCTGCTTGCCCTGCATTGCCTGCTCACTCTAGACTGATATTTGGAGAAAAAATTATTTTCTTGTTTTGTTTTTTGAGCTAATGCATTGTTGGTCTCTATATTATATCAGCTTAGTCTGTTCCCTAACACAGTCTTCTCACATTCCTTTCAAATTAAATATGTTATTTTTCTTCTATCTGACATGAACTTTTACACTATTTCTTTCCCTTGAGTCTACCCTCCCATTTTTTTTTTCCCAGAGAAGAATTTACAGAAATCTTTGGCTTCATCTCATTATTCTTTACTGTCACTGCCTGCGGGCAGAGTCCATAATGTAAATGTAAAATTGTGTTCAGCATAAGTTCCCTTGAGTATGTAATTATAACGTGTTCCAGGGTGCACCTAAATAAGAAGAATCTGTTTCTCCAACCCAAGATGGCTTTTGGTGTCAATCACACAGTGAGATATAGACAGAGGAAGTCACTGTAGTAACTAACACTAAATGAGGAAGACCACAATAGAAAACATTATGCATTTTCATTGCTGATAATCTAGGAGTGGGGGAGACTCAGAAAATATGGAGGGCCCTAAGCATGGAATGGGATAATTCTAATTTTGTAGGTATGCAAAATATCTCATAATCAAATAGCATTTCTGCTCAAAGTACTTAGTGACTTATTTCTGTTTTATACTGGACACAAATGTTGGTTAATAAAACCTATCAGTATGTTCTATTATCAAATCACAAATGCTGATCAAAGTGTAGGTATTAATTTCAGTTGCTATGTAATCTATAACAACTAAATATATAAACACATGAAAATCCTTTAATATACATAAATACATTAAAATGTGTTTTTAAAATACATATTTATGGGGCGCCTGGGTGGCTCAGTGAGTTGAAGCCTCTGCCTTCGGCTCGGGTCATGATCCTGGGATCCTGGGATGGAGCCCCGCGTCGGGCTCTCTGCTTGGCTGGGAGCCTGCTTCCTCCTCTCTCTCTGCCTGCCTCTCTGCCTGATTGTAATCTCTGTCTGTCAAATAAAATAAATGAAATCTTTAAAAAATAATAATAAAATACATATTTATATATAGAAAAGCATACAATATAAGCAATGTAAGTGATAATTATTGATGGTCAACTATTTTACTAACTAAATTAAAATACCTATTTCAAAACTAACTCTTATATGAAGCAGAGTTTCATATATAAATAATTTTGTAATTTATTTATTACTTTGTAATTTATTTACTTCATAAGTAAACAGATTATTCTGATTGGATTTTAAGCACATCAAAGCACTCAGAGAAGTTCAGATCTAGAACCTTTATATAGGAGAATGTAGTTTGTGAATCATTTAGTAAAATATTCAAGTAATCAAAAATAAGTGCTTTCAATTTCTTGAATTTAATTGCTGACATTAACTTGATGTCTGAAAATAAATGTTGGAAAAGTAAAGGAATACAATTAATAATAGAACTGGAAATCAAATAGAGGTAAAATGTTTAGAAAAAGTGCAGTGTTGCCCAAATTTTAATCATTTTTTTAAACACTCTCCCAATTTTTGGTATGTCTGTATAACACTTAAAATATGTATTTACCTAATCATTTTATTCCATTCCATTCCTACTTAAATGTTTGATTTTTAAAAACCAGCATAATGGTTTTACCTGCCATAATTATTACACTCAACATGTATTATTATTTTCAAACTATCTACTTAAGTAAAAAATATTCTTAGGTTTGCTCTCTAAAGTCATCTCACATAACCCACACACCATATGTTGGTTAATAATTGATGTAGCATTGCAATATATAAAATTCTTCTAGTATTTGGGGCCTAGGTAAAATACAGAAGTCTCCTATACTTAAAATTTTCATTGTGAACAGAAGTATGTCCATGCTCTGATCACATAGTGTTAGGGTAATACTAAGTATGTCTCTTTTTCCAGCTATTGAGCAAACCAATAAAACTTCGAACACATTTTATACAGAAGTGTGATGTGGAACACTGTGAGGCATGTACCATTATTAAGAAGGTTAACTTCACTATCTAAATAACCTGCTCTGGCTTCGCATTCATCACAGTTAAAGAGAGAAAGGCAAATGGCAAGGGCTGACAATGAATTGTGTCTCTGAAAGTTACTATGTTCAGTAGCAAATATGTTCTTTAAAAAAACATTCTTTGTGTCCAACTTTTCAGGAATGCTTCAGTTTGTTCACAACAATTGAATAATATACTTTACAACTATCTTTGTGGCAAGAAATTAATTGTCAGCATAATACGGAACAGTATTTTGAGTTTGGGGGTTATGTTTTTGTGTATCTGTAAATTGCCAATTTGTAAGCAAGAACTCTCAAAAATTCAAATTCTATCTATTGGGTAATAAAGCAATAGAAAGGCAGATTATTTTACAAAACACAATTCACCCTTTTCAATGACTATGATACATCTTATTATAGAACAGTGGATTCAGATTTGGAGACCAGGTATTTGTAAATAGGATTTTTCTATCATCCAATGTATGTATGGTTACTGGCAAAAATGCTTGGTGGAGTAAAGCTTCAACCTCATGCAAACCATGCATCAAAATGTGTTTATAACAACATCTACTTACTAGCTCAGCTTCCTATAGGTCAGAAGTCCAGGCACAGCAGGGCTGGTTCTGCTCAGGCTAAAATCAGGGCATTAGCTAGCCATATTGTCATGTGGAGTTCAGGTGCTTTTCCTAGCTCATCCTTGTTATTGGCAGAATGGGTCACTTTGCTGTTGTAGGACTAATATCCCTGTTTCCTTGCTTGCTATCAGTTGGGAACAGTTCTAAACTCCCATAGGCTGCTCCCAGTTGCTAAGCGTGAGGTCCTCCCTATCTAAGCAACTGAGAACTGCCCTTCCAATCTCTCCACTTGCTATTGTGTGAGCAGCCGTAGAGAATTCTCTACCTTTAAAGGGCTCTTATAATTGGGACAGGCCTTCCCAGATAATCCCCCATCTCAACGTTAATGGTCTCATATGTCATAGTGTAATCACAGGATTAAAACACATTAAATCTGTGGTCTTGGGGATTATACAGGGTGTGTACCCCAGAAACAGAATATTGGGGAACATCCTAGAATCCTGCCGACCACAGAGGCTTTTGTCACTTTCAGCTTGACGCATTTCTTCGGCTTGTATCCTCACACTCCAGCCTTTTTCTTTCTTTCCCCAAAAGGAACTTAGGAAAACTGAAATTGTCACTAAATTGGTCTACATGAAATAAAATATACATGAAAGATGTGTATTCCTGAGCTTTCAAACATGTTTCAAGGTGACACCAAACAAGCTTGGATGGCATCCATCATTCTCAGTGCAAATGTAGCTGCAGTCGAACCATCACTTAATGGTGAAGCCTGTTTGTGCCACTAAAGTAGCTGACAATGTGTTATACACTCATGAGGATGTTGTATTAATTCAGTATGACTTCTTTGTAACTAATGTCAAACCTACTGTATAAACAAATAACAGATTTATTTCAGTACCAATACTAATTTATTCATGATGGGTTTTTTTTTCTACAAATTAAATGTATTTTTTAGGCTCTATGAGATTAGTATGCAAATAGTGAAAATTTTAAGTAATTATTGGTAATTTGGTTGTATCCACTCATCCTGAAATGCCTTAACTCCCCATCCATGTTTGATTATTAATTGGATTCCTACAGTAAATAATTCTCAACGAAAAGCTTTGATTTGTCAAGGTATAGATGAAAAGGTACTTATGAAGAACACAAATCTGATTTGGTGGTGCTCACTAAAACATTAAAGTTCATTACTAGATATCAAATGGGAATTGTCAAAGCAGGATAAAGACCAATAATAATAAAATGGGCAATGCACAGTATGGTGTCATGGAAAGAATAATAAAGAGTAAGATACTGGATAAGCTACTTAATTATCTTAGTTTCAGGTTTTTCACTGTAAGAGCAGGGTGATGCTCCAGCTTTATTGAATTGTGAGAATTGAAAGATTTATGAAATCTATCATTGGTAATAATTGTTCAGTAAACACTTCCTTTCTCTGAATATGAATAAGCTAATTAATAAGTCAGCTTGTTTTAATAAACTTTAAAATGGGAAAAGTCACAATTTAGATAGAGAACACTCCACAGACTTAATTCAATTTATAAAAATTAGTAGATTCGGTTGCTATAACAAATAGAATAACAGTAGCTCAATTAATACTTAAGTACTTTTAAGAATTTGAAACAAAGGATATTTAGTAGTGGAATTAGTTAGATGATGGAATTGTTGAGAGATGTCAAATGGCTGATATGTCACCTCAGAGATAAGCAAAAGCAGGTCATACCATCTCCCTACACTAGGAGAACAAAGGAAGAACACAATGTTCATGAAACCTGGGGAATGGGATTATGAAGGAAACACAGCGAGAGATGCCACACAAGGCACAGGGAGAAATACCCTGGTTTCTTCCTTTTAACAAAAGGCAGATCACATGGGAACATGGGAAAGAGCCTACAAAGTTTGAGAAGAACAAGAAAGCAATGGGTGTGCCTGAGGGCAAGCAGACCATGGGCTAGCATTCTAACTGGTGAAAGTTAAGAGAAATGTAATTGACCGGCAACTCAGGTTTTAGGTGATTCAAGAGAAGCCTGGATCCTGAAAATACCGTGATGATTAATTCTCTTAATTGTGTTTTTGCAGAGCTTCAGAAACACTGCTAAGAAAAAGAGAGCTGTTAAAGATAGAGACTTATTCCCTAAACCCATTTCCGGTAAGACTGTGGTGGGGGCGCAGCCAGTGGCTGTGAGACTGACAGTACTCAGGAGGGTGGGCCTTGCTGTTCCTGGCCTCAGACGTGGCGTAAGGCATGGGACCATTTGTTGTTTCACTTTTGTTCTTCTTCCAAACGTGGGAGTTCTGCCTGTCTTCATTGTCGCAAATTGGTATTTTGGGATATGGAAGAGTGTGTTTTCCAAAGATGATCACAGTAATGTGTATCCCATCCTTCAAGCTTTTATTATGGTGCAGTGTTGACACATGTTCATTGAGATGTGTGTTGAAGGAGGGATGTTTTCTCTCTTTGAATCTGGGAGAGCCTGTAACCCTGGAAAAGGTGACACTGTGGCTTTTGAGGCTACACATAAAAAGGATACAACGCTGCCTGGACCACTTGCTACTCACCCTTTGAACCAAATCATCATACTCTGAGGAAGCTAAGTACCTTTATGAGAAACTATGTGTCTGTATCCTGGCCACCATCTCAGCCGAGAGGCCATATCAACCAAATGTTAGTAACTGAGTCTTCAGATGTTGCCAGCCCTCAGCCTTCAAGCCTTTAGAGCTTGAAAGGAGCAGAGATGACATGCCCCTACCAAGCCCTTCTCAAATTGCAGGCTTATGAACAAAACAAGTATGATTATTTTAAACCATGACATTTTGGAGTGCTTTGTAACTCAACAATAGATAACCAGAACACAGGGTGATTAAACTTACAAGTTAGTCCAGTGTTGCCAGACGTGACAAAGCACCTTGGACTAAGAAGAGTATGCTTCTTCAGAACTCCTGGACAGACCACTTTACACAGTAGCTGGATTTGATTTTGTGTTCTCTCTCTCTGGGAAAGCGTAAGTGCATTTTCAGTTGTAAGCAGGGTAATTGTATTTATTATATGAGGCAGAGGAAATGTGGGAATTGTTTGTGCATGTCTAATATGACGTTATAACTAGATCTTTCCAGTCTCCATTTTGACAGAGGCACCAGTGATCAACATCAGATTACCTAAATGACAGTCTCCGACTTCATATTGATTTAGTCAACATGGAATGCCTGTTACATGCCACTCATTATTCTGGGTGCTGGGGAATGAAGTGGTCAACAAAGCAGTTAAAATTTTCTGCCCACATGAAGCTTACATATGTAGAATTAGAAAAGAACTGTTTCTAAAAACCTGCTCCTTCAGAAATATGAAAAGGAGTCAGGGTGTTGTAAAGAGGAATTTGGTCAAGAGATTTTATTGGAGAGAGTTGTTGGCATGAGTGTTAATTAGGAGAGGTTAAATTATGATAATGAATACGCATGGTTGGTGCGTATCCAGAGGTGGGATATATGTAGGATGTCATGAATCGTATCCAGTGAGGGCCAGAAAATCTCTGCAGATAAAGTCTGAGGGTTTTGAAGGGGCGGGGGGTGGGAGGTTGGGGGAACTAGGTAGTGGGTATTGGAGAGGGCATGGATTGCATGGAGCACTGGGTGTGGTGCAAAAACAATGAATACTGTTATGCTGAAAATTAAAAAGAAAATAATTAATTAATTTAAAAAAAAAGAATGAAGGTGAACATACATAGGGCTGAGGGTATGGAACAAAATGGTAGAAGATCATCTGGAAGAGTCACCTGACTGGATCAGTCAGTGTAAGAGAGAGATAGTGTTAAGGAATCTCTGAAGAGAGAAAAGACAGGTTCGGAGAACAGAAGGACACACCCCTTTTTCCTTCTACCTTCCTCCTCCCTTCCCCATGGCATGCCTCCAGAGAGAGCAGATCCAAGCTTGGGAAAAAAGAACGTTCAGTGCTAAATCAAGTTTAAGATTTGGTTTAATATTTTGTACCAGGTGTCTAATTTTTAAATTGAAATTGTGTTTACTACTAACAGTAACTGAAGAACTTTCCATTTTTGTAAGTAAGAGACCACGAAAATTATGGACCTGTCCAAATAGTCTTTAAAGGTGGGGAAGATTACCTGACTGAGTTAGGTTTTAATGCCAAGGTAAAGGACAAAACTGAAGTGTCACTGTGATCACAATCCTTTATGTCATGTTTGTTCAACATACTGAGTTAACACCGAGGCGGGGGTAAAGGGCATGTTTTTCTTAGGTAGACAATGGGGAGATTTCCACTTCTAATACTCTATTATTTGTAAGAGAATTCCATTTCCTTATGGGGATTGAGTTAAATGGGGATCATTCCACCTATCTGTAATCATAAAAGTGGACAACTGTCCCAGCCTCAGGGAGAATGATGAATAGCAGAAGTATTTGACCCAATAATTTCATAACTTCAGGGTAAGGGCTGCAGCTCTCTGTTGGTATTACCAATCTGTAGGTGGCCATTTTTTCCACAATGTAGAGAGAGAGAGAGAGTGAGAGCAAATAAATGAGCACAAGCCTACTTCCATTATATCATTTTGATCCCAGACCCAGCTATACCATGAAAAATCTCACTTATTAAAGTAACTAAACTTCAGTTTTTACTTAAGCTAGTTTGAGTTGTCTCTTGCAACATAGTTTTGACTAACACCTCTACTATATTTGAAGAAAAACCAATATATATGCCTCATTGTCTGTAGTATGTCTATAAAACAATGCTTCTTAGTATTTATGGGTCTTGAGTCCTTTGAAATCTAATGAAATCAAAGGACTTTCCATTTTTACAGATTAGCACAATACACTATAGTAGAATTTGATTTTTTTCTTACAGATGACAAAGCAACATTTATAAAGAATTATATCTTCCATTTTTTCAAATATTGAAAATAAATAAAAAATTATCAAATAAGGTAAAAAGTATATTCAAGGAGAAGGATGCACTGCTTGGCTGGAAAGCACCCTTGGCCCAGTGGAGTGGTTTTTGATTCATTCTTCCTTATAGGTGTCTCTAGATTTCTGTTTAGATTGAAAATTTCAGGACTCTTGTCATTTTCATCCATAGCATGAAGAATTTTTTCCAGCACTAGACCATCTACAAGGTTGTCTGCTTTCAGTATCTCTTTCCAGAGTGGCAACTTGTACCTAACAGTAAGTGTTCTTGTTTGTTTTGTTTTGTGTTGTGTTTTTCCCCCATCAGTATCTACAAATGTCATGTCAAGGCCTCCAGTCAAAGAATTTACCTTATTCTTGTGGCTGAAAATATCTGTCAAATGACCTAATTCATGAGTCAACTCTTCTCTGTCAAACTGAGCTGGAATGTGGGTTGGTTATATCCTCCTAATAGTAAAGCTTCTATAAAAGGTTCATTTAAGTATGTGAAGACTTTTCTTCTGGAAAATCAACAATCACATATTACATGCCTTGTTATGACAAAACCTCTTGAAAGGTAGCAGTTCAAGGCGCCATTTTTGTTGTCAAGTGATCTCAAACATGCCACTGTAGAAAGCTATGATCTTGTAGCCCAGTGATGTGCAGCACTTTTTCACTCACCCACAAAATCAGATGAGTTCCAACTACAAATTCTTATCTCCATTTGAAGTAGCAGGATGTTTCTTCTAGTTGAATTGTCTTTGGCAAAATTGTAATCTTGAAGATAATACCAAATAAGTAATTCTTTTTCGATGATATTTGTGAATGCCATGTTCAAAAACCAGGAGCTGCCTGGTTTCATTCAATTTTAAGTTGAAGGAAAAATAACAATAACGAACATTAATAAAATAAAAATTTATCCAAATAAATATTGGTGTTAGAACTTGTTTTGATTATGCTTAAGTATATACACACAAAATGATGACTAAATTTGGCTAAGCCATTTTAATAACATTATCTAATAACTGGTCTTAAGAGGATGATGGTTTTAATCAGGTATTTTGAAAGATAAATGATAATTTATATATATACACATACATATGTGTGTATATATATATTTTTTTTTCTTTTAGCTTCTTGTCATTATTTCACAGGCAAATCAAATTACTATTTTTCTATCTTCTTTCTTTTTGTTTCCATTTTCTGGAACATCTTTCTCTCCCTCTTCTATTTGTCCAAGTTATATTTATTATTTAAAGCTCTCACAGTTCCCTTCTCTTCATGGTAACTTACTTGCTGCATCAAAACTTCTTTGAGCCCACTGGCATTCATTACAAGGCTTAACACCCACTCTTACTCTGTAATTTTCATTCCATATTACATGTCAGTCTTTGCTACACAATTAGTTTATAGTTTCCATTAGGGTAAAAATCACCTCTCTACCACTTCTATAGAACACTGAACAGAGTGGTTACCTATTCTACCTGCAAAATTTACTTTAATACTTAATTGTTTTTCTGTTTGAAAGTATGCTGATGGCAAATGTTATGTTACAAAGCTTTCATACATGTTAGTTACCCATAAACATCAAGTTATTTTTCTAAGAATAATTTTTAATGTAAAATTACACCACAAACAACACATTTTCAAATGAGACAGCTTCAAATGTATGCATTTAAAAGATAATCAGAATAAAACTTTGAGATCGTGTTTAGTTTTAAATATACTAAATGCATTTGAATACGGGCCTTCACTAAGAAACTGATAGTTCTAAGAAACTTTCTGAAAGAAGATTTATTTATCATATAATTCAGGTCAGAATTAGAAAACCGGAAACATTAAATTGCTAAGAAGGTTGACTGACTCCACAAAGGAAAAGAGAAGATTGCACACTATTCTTTTTTTTTTTTTTTAAGATTTTATTTATTTATTTAGCAGACGGAGATCACAAGTAGGCAGAGAGGCAGGCAGAGAGACAGGAGGAAGCAGGGTCCCTGCTGAGCAGAGAGCCCGATGTGGGGCTCGATCCTAGGACCCTGGGATCACGACCCACGCTGAAGGCAGAGACCTTAACCCACTGAGCCACCTAGGCATCCCACACTATTAAAGTCACAGAAAATCCCTTTAAATATCAAAATTATTCAGTTTTCCCAAAGATATATATGTCTCAAAATGAGGAGAGCTTAAGTTTCCAGTTTTCATGTTTCTCTCCTCAAATGGCCCTTGAAAACCAGGCTTCATGTTTTTTGTAATGTACCCTCTAAAGCCATCACGAGTACAGATACGCCATGTTTCA